TATTGATTGATTGTTGAGACTCTCGGTCATTGATGTCGGTATACAAGGGTTCTACCGTGACTTGATTTCTTGTGTGTAAATTGATTTTGAATTGGCAAAGGAGGAGGAAAGGGTGTGATTACAATTTGATATGACAGATTTGGCTTCATACTTGAGGACAAGCATCGTTTAAGTGTGGGGTGGTTTGATTAGTTGAAAAATGTGCTTGCACTAACCGTTTAATGTTGTGATTTTGCACGTTTAATTCTTCACACTTGTTCATTTTCTGGCTTATTTGATTTTATGTATGACTCTCGTGCCTTGATGAGTTTGTTAGTGTTTTCAGCATTTTTTGAGATTATTTAGTGCATAATGATTTTGGAGGCAAGAATATGGGTGAAAATAATGCTGGACAGCAGAATACAGGGTAGCCCCGTACCAAAGCCGCAGACCCTGTACTACATTGAGGAAGCCCATGCAATTCGAGTGATTTGGCATCAGAATTTATTATGTTGGGCTGCAATTATTTATGCTGAAGTGGGCCCAAAGTTGAGCTGGGAGAATGATGAATAAAAGGGCCACTTATTTCTTAAGGGAAAGAGGTTGGTGACGTGGCTTTGGGGGTAATACATAAGGGAGAGATTTTGGCTTGTACGGGGATGATTATTATTTTTTTTGGCTGCGGGAAAACCTAGGAGAAGGGAGCAGATCGTGAGGGAACATATCGAAGGAAGCAGCAACACAGAGAAGAAAAATATTCTTTTCTTTTCTTTCTTTCTTGTGTAATTAAATTGATGAACATGTTTATGAATATTATGAGTAGTGAGTAGTTCTTTTATTCTAGTCCCGGGGAAGTCGAACCCTATGATTGACGATGTTTGATTAATTTCCATAGTTGATAATTTCAATATCTTTTTTGGAATTGTTTGTGTTATTTTGAATAATTTACCATGATGTGTTTAGTCTTGTTTAGTTTGATCACCTAGATTAGGCTTTGCATATCTACATATGAATTAGACCTTCAATCCGTAATTGTTGTTGTGTTTAATTCCTAAGAGGTAACCGGAAGATGGTAACTACCGGGGATAACACGACCTAATTAAGTGAGCGAATGCGGTTGAGTTCACTAATTAGTCTAGCCTATTTTTCTAGATCGTAAAGCGACTGAT